GGGCGCATACACCCGCTTCTCTTCAAGGTCAATTTCTCGAGCTACCATTCTCCCGTCATTATTTCATCCTCTAGGAAGACAGCGTGTCTCGTTTCCACAAACTTTGTATGTCTGTCTGGACAGTAGAAGCGAAAACCTTTTGACTTTTCTGGGTAGCCAATGAAATGGCAACTTACTGTTTTGGGATCTAGCTTTCCAATGTTTGGGTTAAATACTTTAGCCTCAGCAGGACCCCCCACGCACGTAAGTGGTTTAGTGAGGGTAGTCTTCCTATCCATAACTCATACGGTGTTTTGGGCACCGACTTACTTGGTACTCTATTTGAGAATATGAATGGCGGTTTTTAACGCCTCCATCCACAGGCTCAATGGTAAGGTGGAGTAACTTATCATACTACGCACCATATCCATCAGGGTACGATTACGTCTTTCAGCTACTCCATTCTGCTGAGGTTCACCCGGTGTAGAATATTGGGCTACTATGCCATTCTCCTATAAGAACTTTGCAAAAGGTCCAGGAACTTGACCATATGGGGTATACCAACCGTAGTACTCTCCCCCACGGTCGGACCTGACTATCTTAATATTTAAATTGTGTTGGTTTTCAACTTCTGCCTTAAATATCTTAAATTTATCCAATGCTTCTGTTCTTTCTTTGATTGGATAAATATAGCCATAACGGGAGTAATCATCTTATGAATGTTATGAACGAATCATAACCATCCACACTCTTTACAGGAAACGGACCACAAATGTCTGTGTGAATAATCTGTAAAATTCCTACGCTTCATTTGACATCTTTTTTAATTTTCTTTACATACTTTCCTTTTATGCATTCTCTGCATTGTTCTAAATCTGAGAGCTCTAATGGAGGAATAATATTATTCTTAACTAGTCTTTCTATTCTCCCTCTCAAAATATGGCCTAAACGATAATGCCATAATTTCGACGACGCATCGTGAGCTCTCTTATGCCACCATTTCTAGAGTAACTCTCTGTCACCAACTAATTTATCAGCTGGGTAGCATATGTCTTTGAAGAGCCAGTGAACTGACTCTTTAGTCTATCGAGGTACTTGGTGACCGTGTCACACTCTGAGATTGAGCCCACAATTGCAAGCTCAATCGTGTTCTTTATCACATCCAAACATTTCTTGTTGGCAGTGACTCACTTTCTATGCTCAAGGTTATAGGACATCTTTTGGGATTCCAAGCGGCATCAACCTCGTTTGTCTCCCTCAACGGTGCCACAGGCTCAGTGAGACACGGTGAGGTGACTACCCAATCCACCTCGGCCAAGATGAAGGTCAGGTCAATCTTTTTCTTCCACTCTGTGTAGTTGTCACCTTTGAGAGTGGGGATATCTTTGATACAATCCATAAAGTTGTATCCGCCTAGCAACACAATTCATATAGAGTGAGAACATAAATAATAACAATAATTGCATGCCTTGATTCCAACGTTGGTCAAAATTAAAACATACAACTATTCTTATACACTAATTCTACATCACCGTTGAACAGAAATAGAATTAATACATAAAATCATTAAAATTACGATATTGTTATTAACAACGTTGGTCAGAAAATAACGTCATAATCATGTCAAAATCTATTTTTCTCCAATTAAATATCACGTTGGTTCAAAATAACTGGAGAATAAACTATTTCTTTAGCAGCGGAAACATGAAAATCTATTATCTATTTTTCAGAAGCATTAAACTTTTCTCAAATATTCTCTGAAAAGTTATCCCGTTGGTTTAAATTTTAACAGAGATATTAAACTAGACAAATATCATCAAAATTTGCTTCTGGAAAAAAAATAAAACTTAAACTCATATGAACACTGTTCATTTGGCCCAAACCAGCTGAAACAGTGAAATCTGGCCCGGCCTGTTTCTGTTTTCGCGAGCGCGCGCTGCCACCCAGGCCGCAATGTGGGCCTGGGCCGGCAAAGCGTCGCGGCCGCGCGCCCCGCCTGGGCCGAAACTGGCCCAGTCGCGCTCCGCCGTCGGATCGCATCCGACGGTCGCCCGGCCGTCTCGCCCGAACAAAACCGCGGACGTCGGTTTCTCCCGAACCCTAAACGCTCATTTGCGCCTCCTCCTTCTCTCTCACTCTCTCAGCCGCAGCGATGTGAGTCTGAGCGAGCAGACGACGGAGGGCGAGCAGAGCCTCGGCGCCGTCGCCAGCCCCCTCGCCGGCGAGCGCGCTCCCCAGCGGGTGAGCGTGCCGTCGTCGAGCGGTCTGGCTACGGCGCCCCCTTGGCCAGAGCCCGACGAGCAGCGCCCCCGGCTCGGCCTTCTTCTCCCCGCGCACCGGCGAGCCGCACTACGGCGGTGTCAGCAGCGGTCGAGGCAGGCCTCCCCTTCCCCTTCTTCCCCTTCTGATTTGGGTCTGGTTTGTTCTTCTCGGATTCAACCGATTGGGGATCTATGGTTAGGGTTTCGGGTTAGAGTTAGGGATTCGCTCTGTTCTTCTTCTTCCCGAATTGATTGCGGGTTTAGGGTTCCGACAGCGACATCTCTGCATGCTATTTATGCTTATGATGTTGCATCAATGCTTACTCACGTGGCAACATCACAAGGATGGTTCAAAAAACATGCATGATAGATTTGTTAGTTGATCTCCACCAATAGGCCCAACGGCTTATTGGGCCCTTGAATCTGCGTCCTGATCGGGGGCGTCCAACCCTAATATGGTTGGTGGGCCCATATCGCACAGCACTATAAAGAGAGGTGGGGATCAGGGCTCTAACTACGAGGTTGACCGGAGCCGCCATGACCCACCAACAGAAAACCTAACCCGATCTAAAGAGGGTGCTGCCAGCGACGGGAAGACCAACTGACTTCGCCGCCACCAACCTCACCGTTGCCTCTGCATCGCCACTGGACCTCGCCACCACTACGCTGGACTCCACTGCGCCGAGCTACCACGACACCGGTGTCCAAGCCGCTGCGGCGCCATGGACCGAATGATGACCTAGGGCGAGGTACATCAACAGTTTCCCCATCTAAATAAGAAGCTTACCCCTGATCTACGTTTTAGAGGTAGGCATCTTCCCCCATTCATTGTACTAAGCAAACTGAAGAGCTCTGAATAGCTTATAATCAAGTTTGCATGACTGCATAAGAAATCAAGCCACCCGGCTAGTGGAATGGAAACACGAAGTAAGCTGCCCCATGCCTCTCTAGCTTCTTGTGATTTTACAGATGGCCTCCTCTTCTTTTGTTAATTTATTTACTTCTTTGTCCAGCTCCTTGGTGATAGCACAAGATTACTCTGTATACTTTGGCAGGCAAAATGAGTCTGCATCTCAACTTTTGCAATATTCTACATCTATAGATGCACTGTGGATATGCATCATTTGAGAAATTTGAAACTTCTAGATATATGTTCGTACGGGGTTTTCATGTTTTTTTAGGCAAACAGGCAGGTAAAAGCATAACCATGGCATCTCCTTCCTAAAGACACACTTTGCTCCACCGTCGGCGCAACTCTTTGGAAGATGGCATCATTACAAACTAACCAAATACTCCAGCAGAGAAGTATAATAATCTCCATGAAGAAAGAAACTCAACCGGCGTTTAAAGGTTGTGAGCACATGTATGACTGATTTTTTCTCAAAAAAACATGTATAACTGAATGAAGAATTGAATATTACCGCCAAAGTGGATATTAACAAAGTTCCAGCAGGCAAGAGCAAAAGGACATTGAAGAAAGAGCTGGTCCAGAGACTCTTCATGATCAGTAGCAAAGAACGCAAGCGTAAGACTTCAACTCCATATTCCTCCTTTTCAACAAATTTCTTATCCTAAGACGATCCTTTAGAAGAAGCCAGAAGAAAACCCTATGCTTCGGTTGACATGAGCATTTCCACAGACATGAGAAAATACCATAGCAAAAGGTTAGTGAAGGTCTGAAGCTGCCTTCTGGCTGCATTAGTTTCCCCTGTTTATCGCAACTTTCGCTAACAGCTGACCGCGGACTGCTTTCATATGGTTCATTTGCGAACTGGTACGATGCTGGATAAGAAATGTAATACTAGAGCTGGTATGGTTCAAAAAAAAAAAACAAGAAGAAATTTCAATGAAAGGCTTACTAGTGGACTTCTGCTGATCTGGCTTTGGGAACAGGCCGCTATAACAGTAGAGAAAGATGCACCAGAAAGCCGAGAGGCCCATGGGTCAACAAGATTTTCCAAGGAAAGTACGAAGAGCAAGAGCACCAGAACGGTTGCATTGACTGTTACAGGCCCAGGCAGTTCATGTCACTAGTCATGCTACTGACGTAATGGCATGCCATAAAGCCCATATAGATCATTATATCTAAAGTTCTTGCTAAACCAGCAATGCTTGTCTTGTAAATAAAATTTAAATCTCGTGTTTTTTCCCAGGCATAGGGTGTTAGTCTAATCTTTTTTTTTTTCAAAAACAGCTCTACCTCTCAAGGAAGGAAAGAAATTATATGTACAGGAAAGCCCAGAAGTCCGGCTAGCCCCACCGGGCACACATAGAAAAACAGGAAACACCCGGCTCCTATCCTAATCTTTGAATTGATTACTATCAGAATGCTATGTGCTTTTGTGTTAAAATTTGTACTCTGTGTATACTGATATGCAGAGGTTGGGATTGCTTTCAAGAGTGCTGTATCAATTCAATGTAACTGTCTTTAATTTTAAAATCTTCCCTTATCAAGAAAAAAAAACTCTAAAGCATACATCTAGAAATTGCAGCAAAAGTGTGCCCCCATTCTGCATATATACACGAGTGACTGAGTGAGTACATTACTTTCAGAAATAGCAGCAAAAGTGGCAGCACAGAAAGGCCATGCAAGAATGTACACTATTATACAAAACACACAGCAGCAGCAGCAGAAGCTGATAGCTGAAGCAATACCAAAAGGAACCCTATAACCATGACATAGCCTGATTGCTTATTGCTCTTCTTATCTAGCAGTACTGCAGTAGTTCTACACCTTCAAAATGTACATACAGGTCGGTTCTACTTCTCATTGCAGGACAAGTGCTGAAAGGCGTCCTTGATCGCAGATATGGCCGCTAGGTACTTGCTCCTGCGCTCCAGGTACATCCCCTCCCGCACCAACCGCTGCCCGGTGTCATCCATCTGCAGCAGCGTCTGCTGCTCCAAGCGGTCATCGATGAACAAGCTTGCGACGAGGAATGAGAGCGAAGCGGCGGTATGCAGCCTGTGGAGCTGATCGCCCTGATGATACGGCAGTGGTTTCTGGTTCAGCTTGTCCGAGAGCATGGCCACATTCTTCAGGTGCTGTTCCACCTGCTGCATCAGGCTACCCAAGTCACCCTGTGGCACAGAGTCGTCAGAGCCTTGGTGGCGGTCACTCAGCACCTGGATCCTTGCAACCACATAGGGCTTTGTCCTGACGATGTTGATGACCCGGAAGCGGTCTTTGCCCACGCAGGTGAGGAAGAATCGGTCGTCGGTGAGCCTCTCGCACTCCACGACGTGGACAACGCACCCCACGTCCGCCATCCTACTCCCGTTCTTGCAAGCCGAGCAGATGACCCCAAACCTGAGGCCCTGCTGGAGCAGGGTGTGCATCATGATGCGGTGCCTGAACTCGAACGCCTGCAGCTGGAGCGTGGCGCCGGGGAAGACGACTGATGGGTACATGACGAGGGGGATCTCGGCGGTCTGGTCTTTCGGGGTCTGAACAACCTCGTTCATGCAGCCGTGCAGATTGGCTCCGCATTTCAGCAACGATGTACTCCTCTTATGGAGCTGCTGCTTCTCCGTGGTCGTGGCAATGGCAACTCTTGTTTGTGGTGGGTCGGGTCTTGGAGGAAGCTTTGGCTGGTGAGGAGGCGACGACGATGGACTGAAGCTGTGGCTGTTTGGCCTTGTCAATTTGGATGGAAGGTGCAGGGTCCTCAGGGCCATGTATATGTGTTTGCTTCACTTTCAGAGTAAGAGTAGCCTGATCAACTCTGCACAAAACAAAGAGTTGCTATATTCAGGTGGCAGAATTTTCAGGCAACAATCTTACACAATCAAGTAGTAAAATTAAAAGGACAACTCACAAAAGACAATTCACAATTTTTTTTCTATAACCAAACCAGACAACTGATGAAGAAGAGACACATATCTAGTACTAGTAGTATATATTCAGTAAAAAGATTTAGCAACAAAAGGATTACCCTTTGCGTACAGATCGGGGAACATAATCCTATGTCGGATTACAGGGAAACCATGAAACATGTATCTATGATGATTGCAGCAGGTTTGTTTGAGTTGCAGAGATGGAAGTTTTCACTTTTCCGAGTTGTTGGAAAGCCTGTACCGATACCGATTGCGGGAAAGAAAGAAGAAAGAATAAAAAATAAAAGAGAAGTGACTGTTGTGCTTATCATCCTATAGCAAAATATAATAAATAAATAGATGAAAACTGCCGCTAGTCCTCCTGAAGTGAGTGTACTAGCTTGCAGGTGAAGCAGGCGGAAACATTTGAGTTAGGTGTGGTTGGATTGGATAAGGAGTCGTCCAAGGATCGGATGATGTAGACGGGGCAGTGCCGCTGCCGTGCCGAGTGTGTGTTTGTATTAACCGAGTAGCAGCTCCGAGACTTCACATACTGACATGGGGCGTTGGTTGTCGGGTCAAGAGGAATCGAAGGGCCCGATTCATGGACACGGCAGGGACGGTTGTATGCAGTGCATAATTAGAGGAAAACCATTTTTTTTTCTTTATCACGTATTATTTATGGGAAGTAAAAACCAGCTATGCCGGAGGAGTCGCGACAGAAACAAAACAAGATGCAGGACAACTAGGCGCGCGGATCGGATCTTGGGTCGTGGCTTTGTTGTAGAACAAAGGTTTGCCGGGGACACGGCGGAAGCACGCCGGACAGGAAGGAAGGAAACGGGTGATGGAGGGAAGGGGGTACGGGTTGTTACCTTGGTGGTCGTCGGACGGATGGCGATGAGGGTCCAGGTCGTTGCCGGGTTCGCAGCACTCAGAACGGCAGCAGGGAGGGGGGCGATGGACGAAGAGTGGAGAGAGCACAGAGCAGGGAGGGGAGGTGGGCGGAGAGAGAGGAAGGTTGAAGGTAGGCGAATGGATAAGAGCAGAGGACGATCCGATTCCTCCGATGATAATAATTTATAGACAGATAGATAAAGGCTCGCACTTATACATCCCAAACGCTAGTAAATTCTCCGATTGCAAGCAAGGACCGGACGGCAGTCGCTGGCGGTGGTCCCGTCCGTACTCCTGTGCTCGTTTCAATCCAATCCACGCCTCCAAGGCTCCAAGTAGTAGGATAGGAATAGGAATAGGATGTGTTAACGGCTTGTCGCTTTCTTTAGCGGCAGCGCAAAACGTCGGCGTAAACAAAACAGGGTGCCCTATCCTTAGTGCTCTGGAGGTCCGGACAACTGCCCTGCTCCAAATATCTACGCTAAATATCTTCACCACAGTCAAACACGGCCGTTCGTTCTTCACCACAGTCAAACACGGCCGTTCGTTTGGCTTTATTTGGCTTATAAATCGTATTTTTTCAGTCAACAAATAGTTTTTTTCTCTCACACCAAATCAGTCAACAATATTTTCAGTCATGGCTTATTAGCCAAATAAGCCCAAGCGAACATGGTAAAAAAGCGCATGGAGGGGAGCGCTTTTGCCAACTCTGCGTTGGTGTTTCTTTAATAACAGAGAAAAATATCTAGCTTCATTCTCTAAAGTGAGAAATCAGACCAAATTATTACAAGTTAACCAAGTTAACCACAACAACCGAACCACATTTACATAAAAATCCGACTTATAACTCAGTTCTTAAAATAAATGGTCATCCAAAGAACACGAAGAAACGCATAACCATGTTCCCTAACTTGTTGCATGTCTCCAACGCCAACTCCTTCGGTTCCTCATGCCGTTGTAAGTGGGTCTAGAAACGAAGCCAGTGTGTTCCCCTGAATAGGACCTACAAAAAGAGTTTTTTTGTCGACATTTATCAAACACAAATTCATTCCTTGTTGGCCATATAGACTAACAATTCGGTGACCAAGACAGTGCCAGGCCAACGGAATGTCCACAACCTCCAAAAGGACCAAAACAAAGCACAACAAACTTTACCAAAAGAAGATAAAGCCAGCGAAAGGGCCGAATCGGTCGAAGGGACCAAGAAGATCCCATTGTTCTAGGGAAACCCCGATAAGCAAGTCATAATCTCCAAGTACCTTGACCCCACAGCCGAGGGCAACCATGCTGCCTTCTTAAAATAAAACAACGATATCTTCACTTGGAAAGCAGACCACCTCCGTGGCGTCGACATGTCTCTGATCGAGCATTGCCTCAACATCAACCCAGCTCGCACCCCCCATCAAGCAAACGCTTCGCAAAATGTCATAAGAAGTCCAGCGGCTGCTAGATGCGGGGGTCATTCGCCCGATGAAGTAATCTCATGGCTCTCCAACGTGGTCCTCATCAAAAAGTAAAACAAAATGTGATGAACGTGCGTGGACTTCACCTGCCTAAACAAGGCATGCCCGAAGGACAACTTCCACCGCCCAGAATCGATAACCTTGTGGATACGGCTACGGGTTGCGAAATGCTTTCCCTCCTCCATTGTTTCTTCGAATACCATCAAATCTAGATGAAACAAGAAGAAGAGGAAAAGACAAGTTTCATCACTATTGATGGTCACTAACACCACGTTCCATACCATCAACTTATGCTTTAATTGGTAATATAAATGATATAAATCATAGTCATAGGGCTTACTTCTAACCATTTTCACAAGTTTTGATGGCTATGTGAGTGTAGGAATAAGGTGACTATGGACATGGTAAAAATACTTCATCAAATGCCCATTTTGACTACATCATGCTGAATAGCTCACCAAGATACACGAAATCGGGCTTTGGTTCACCCAATTCAGAATCCAAACGATAAAGTTACGCCTTCTGGAAGATTGCAACACAGGCTAGGCTGGAATTGGACATAGAGGGAGGTTGGGCGACCTAGATCTATGTCTAATGACCATCAAACTTGGTCCAAAGCCTCTCCACTCAACAAGAAGCCCAAGGAAAGCATTGGTCACACCAGAGGCCCAAATGAGGCGTCGGGTGACCCAAGCCATGGTCGGCCAACCCAACCCAAGCCATGGTCCGCAAACTCGATGAAGAAACACACTCAGGAGGTATCCTGAACATTGATTCAACGACGGTTCACATCAAGGGATGAAATGGATCCATGTGGCCTCTCCCATGTATCCATGGGCCCACCAATCGAAGGAAACAAATTCCACCACGACCACACTTCATACCCAAGCAAAGGAGAACCAAGGATCAATGCATTGTCTCAAGATTAATGGAAGATGTGCCAGGATGGTGTTGGATGACCCCACCTTGGTCGGCCAACCTAGAAGGCCCACCAAGCTGCCTTGGGCTCCTTCCAACCGACTCTAGGAAGCCACCTCAGTCGTTGGATGGCAAGTTGGTGGAATGGAGGCTCGGCCGATCCTCAAGGAGGTCGTCTGACACCACCATGTCAGCTCCATCAACCCTACTCAACTACAAATACGTCCCTACTCCTATACATTATAAATAGGGGGTGTTGGCTCACTAGTAATACACACACTTGGAGCTCCACTCTCTTCATCATACTTGTAGTAGTAGTGTCCCTTTGAATTTCTCTCATCCAATTGTAGTATCTAGAGATAGGGAGAGAGGTGAGGAGAGAGCTAGGAGGACCCGGGCCTGTTAGATCCTCTTTGACATTGTACCTTAGCGGTGTGGCTGGTCTTCAAGCAATATCTATAATATTACTCTGGTAGCTCTGGCTTTTCTATTTAATTAAATTCATCATTTACTTTAATTACTTTACTTATGAGATCTCCGCTCGCATCGAGTGCTCTAGTTTTAACTTTGAATTAGAGTGTAGTAAGCGTTAACATAGATGTGGTGTCTAGGCTAGTGTTTACCTGAGTTTGCGTCCAATGCCACAAATAGTTGTGGTAGCCCCAGAGGTGACTAGCTATTTCATGTCTTTGTAATCCACCGCGTTCAAATTGGTGTTCTCGAGAGCTTTCATCACCCATAGCTGTTGGCATTTCTAACGACGTTACCAAGAATAGAGATAGAATCCATCTCCGGTAACAGCGCCAAAAATGCTTGTTGGCATTTCTTTAACGTCGTTACTAAGATTTTGTGTTTCCTAGCAACACCACCAAGAAATACCTTGACGATAGTTCTTAATGATTACAGAAAGGATCCGCAAGCGCAAGGAATTATCGTTGTAACATTTCACCCGAAAGCATATTCAAGGTATCGTTATTTATATTTTCCCAAAGGAAGGCATAGTGTAAAAGATTCTAGCGGGGACATGGACAAGATAATGTGACTGCATACTAGACCAATACTCAATACAGGGGTAAGCCATGATAATTTAAAGATAGTGTGACACTAGGCCAACCTCAATGAATAAATGAAAAAGAAAGAATAAAAGAATAGTTTTCTAAGTGGAGCAGGCTTATCCTAATACAGCCATGCAAAGAATAGTGAGTGATCATACAAATACATGGTTAGACCTAGACCTAAGTGTAAGATGGACGGGGAGACCTCCGGGCACTGGTCTGCCAGCAAGCATGGGAGGCATTTATGAACTCCTATATGAATACCTGAACGTGGGGGATTATAAGGGACAGATAAGGCTGTCACCACTTGCTGCCTACCCCTTAACCGTGGAGCACTGTCACATTCGAAGGTTCCCGCATACCCAAGCACCACGTCCGTTTATAAAGAAACTACCCGATCCCCTCGGGACTCTGACCCTACGGATCGACAAGCATAGGACATGGGCAAACCCGAAAGAACGACAAACCGCCACCTCAACTTAGCTCTAATTCTAATCATATAAGTTGTATGAATGATTAAGCTCAATGT